AGTTGAACACGCCGCCGCCGCAAAGCCTGTCGGCGTAAACCTCTAATACGCATCTTGAATCCGCAACGCAGTAAAAGTGGTCTGATTTTATTGAAGAAAAAAATTTACGTATGTACATATTGTTATCTGATTCATAGATATAACGAAGAAATGTAGAGCATGAAAACCTTCCTCGCCTTTCCGGACACTTTGTTTTTTTTTTTTTTTTGAAAGACTCTTTATTGCAAGGTGTGACTGCTCATGCAACTGCTTTCTAAAATTTCTCAATTTGACAGCCTTTTCGAAACAGATTGTATGGCCCCGTCTGACAGTACTTTTATTTCGAAAGCTGCGATGTAAAAAAGTGTGTCTCTTGGTCGCTGGGTGGCTGTCAAGTTTACACGAATGCCACTAAAGTAAATAGAGTTTTCATGTCGGTGTTTGGGACTAACCCTAAGGCTGGACTTTACCATGCCATATTTTGACAACAAAATTTGCAACATATTTTGAAGAAATTTTCTTTTTGATAATACACTTAGCAGCGATAGTACACAATTTGGTATAAAAAAAGGATATATTATTAGTACAGTGTTTTTACTCCATTGGATGATGTATTTTCGCTTATCTGATGGCAAACGCCATTGAATTGGACATGAAAAAAAAACCTTTATAAACGTTATTCGCGGGAATTTCTAAGCTTTTGTCGTTGGGATTGTTGCTTGCTCCCTTTGGTTCGTTATGGCCACTCTCGAATGTCTCGGGTTACAGATATTTTTAGACGAGTAGCTGTATACCTTCGGCTATTTTTTCGTTTCAATTATCCTCTTGCATCTTCACTAAGTCCTTCTTCAAGACCTGATTCTTCCCGATTTTTGCGATTTCCATACGAACAGCGGAACATCTATCTTGCAGAGTGGTGTGCTCTGGCGAAGTTCTTGGTCTTACTGCAAGGCATCAGACTAGCGCTGCCTCAATAAGCTCACCAGACGCTGTTCGCTAGCTTGTTACTTATTACTGAAGCCTTCGTAGTGGGAGTTTCCGAGTGCCGTATAGGATCTCGGTGTTTCCGTTGCTCTATTTTGAGGAGCGTCAAGCGGTAATTGCTGACAGGGTTTTATAGTAAACCTCGACCAGGCCAATGCTTGGCGCGGAACGATTGACGTTGAGATGGATGTGTAAAGTAATTTGGTTCGGGGAGATCACCACTCGCACAAAAACAGTTTGGTGCAGTTTTTGGGATGGTGGCATCATCGGATATTAGAAACGATTTTTTGTGGCCGGAAATTTAAGACATGGGCTCGGACGATCTTTGGTTTCAGCAGGATGGCGCACTATGCCACTCAGCCACAATCGATATTTTGTGCGCCAAGTTCTGTAAACGTATTATCAGCCAGATCGGCGATGTCAATTGACCAACGCGAAGCTGCGATTTAACGCCATTAGACTTTTTATGGGGTGCTGTGAGAGAACGATATTATGCGAACAATCGAGCAATTCATTCGTGATATAGAGCCAGAAACCGTCACCAAGGTCTTGGAGAACTTGGTTAAGAGAATGTGCAATACTTTTTTTCTGAATCTTAATAGCAAATTGAAAACTTTTTAATGCGTTTACTGAAAAGCCTTGTTTTTTTTTTGAGTATGACATCTTTTAGGACCATGTTCATAATTATGTCACTAAAAATATGCATAATAGTACATCAAATATCTCTTTAGCAGTTGCCGGTTGTAGAGTGTCCACCTCTAATTGGCCATAGCAGCATCACCCACAAAGCATGCGCAAACAAATTCTTTATCACGCTTTCAATTCATTTTACCAAACAAGCACCACGCCACTCTTCAGTCGCACGCTTCCTCAAGCAAACAAGGATATCATAATAGCTTACTTGGACTGACATGACTTTGCTTTGCTTGCTGCCACTTACGCTGCCAATTCCACTTGCCACTGTTTAACATTGTGTGCTGAAAGTGTGCTGAATGTGTGAGTGTGTATGGCTGTGTGTGGCTGCGTATGCATTTATGTACATATGTACAGTGACTCACACAAATGACCACGTGTCGTTTTTTTTTTTAATATTCGTAATATTTTTCCAGCTAAACTTTTAACTAAAACCGTGTAAATCACAGCTACAAACTTTATACAAAATTTAGGCAAATTTAACAAATTTTCATCAAAGTTTCACCTTTTTATTCTGAATTTTTAGAAAATTTTTGGGTATGCAGTTTTTTGGCCCATACAATTTTAAACGGCCAAAAATTCGCGTTGATTTTTGAGATTTTTTTTTTTTTTGGTAGCGACTTTTTCGGGTTTTTCAATATAACAAGCGCATTTTACAAAAACTTGAGTTCATAATTTGAAATTTTGTTGATGACGGTCTCCCGCGTTTTATTTCATAAGAAATTCATACTTACAAAAATCCGTCACAAAAAAAAAAAATTCTCAAAAACCAACGCGATTATCGGTTTGAAACTTACACTTCATTAAACTAAAATTGCGTGGGCTATAAAACTGCATACCCAAAAATTTCCTTAAAAATTCCGAATAAAAATTTGAAATTTTGATGAAAATTTGTTGAATTTTCCTAAATTTTGTATACAGTTTGTAACTGTGATTTAAACGGTTTTGGTTAAAGCTTACACGATATTTTTATATAAAAAAAAAAAGTTTAGCTGGAAAAATATTTGAAGAAAATCAACACGTGGTCATTTGTTTGAGTCACTATATATATTTGNTCATTTGTTTGAGTCACTATATATATTTGCCATTATCATTGTCATTGCTGTTACTGTTGCTTCTGCTGCTGTTTCTACTTCTGTGGCGACTGTTATTTTAATGGCTCCATATGGCTTACACGCGTCTCAAAAAAGCTCTCAGCAATTTCAATTTAAAAGCTAAGGATATGCCATGCTAGCGCTCAGTCACAACACAGCGCCACGCGAGTGCAGTACAGTAAAGTTAAGTTAAGAACCAAGGCAAGGCACACCGAGAAGTGGTTGTAGTATTTTAATTAACAATTGAGTATGTTCTGCGCTGTCTATTAGCAACTAAGTCGATAAAAAAATGTATGCGAAGTTTGTTAGTAACTTCAAGTGTTGATGTGAAAAGGATATTAAGTGCCGAGCTAGAGATACACAAAACTTCTAAGCAAACAAATCAGTTTATTAATAAACAATTTTCAGAATCCAAGCTTAGGCGAAATTCAAATGTTGTTGATTACATGAAACACAGTTTATTTAACAATTAGTGTATGAGAACCTGAAAATAAACTAAACGAAACAAATGCTGAATTAAAAAAAAAACAAAAAATATGCGCGCAAATTAAAAAAAAAGGTTATAAACCAGTGCGATTTTAAGAGAAACGCAAAAAAAACTTTATTGCATTATTGAGCAAGCGTTGTTGGAGATTTATTCGTTGCACCCAGCTAAATCGAAAGGAATCAGTCGAAAGCCTCTGTACGTTTCTAGATGTGTGATGTGTATGTGCCAATTACGTCCGTAGTTTATTGAACGATCGCGTCAATCCCGTTTCGAAATATTCATTGAAGCCACGGTTAGTCTGCAGCTACTTTGACGTATCTCCCTTTTTGTTTTTGTTTTGGTATTAAATTGCAAGTTTATCGTACAAACGCAAAAATTAAAGGCGCTGGGAATTAAGGCAACAACGCGTCCACTGGTAGGTAACCACGGCAGCCAAAACCAGCCGGTATACGTATTTTGCCGCTCTAAACAAGTTCTGAAACGCCTATATAAATATGTATATAGTACATTAGGGTGGTCAAAAATAAATAAATAAATAATAAAAAATCGTTGAATAAACAATTGGGTGTTATTACTCAAAAGCTCCCGAAGAAAAGCGAAAAAAATATTGGTTTTCAATAATTCTAAGAAAATTTTTTTTTTCCCCATGTAGTATATTGCAAAACTTTGCATGGAAAACTTTGAGCGCTTTGAGTGACTTCTGAATATTTTTTTATTTCAAAAGAAATAGGCGTATATTTTTTTGGGTATAGTGCAATCCGATTTAACTTTTTCACATGCATTTTTGGAGCACCCTAATGTACATATGTACATGCATATGTAATTATTTTGTTTTATTCAGAAGTCGATTTTGAATTGTAACGCAGTTTGTTTTTTGTTTTTTTTTTGCCAATTTAACGCATAGTTTGATGCACATATTTATGTATGTATAAGTTTTAAGGTGTCTATGCTCTATGCACTCAAAACAGCAATAAAGTTCTACGCTTGCACAGACACGTCGACCCTGACCGAAACGTTGCAATCAGACGCTTCGAATAATAACTAATGCAGCTATTCGTCAAAAACGCATAAAAATTAAACGGAGGCGATGAAGCATCGTTAAAGTGATTGCAGTAAAAATTAACGTTTCGAGCAACATTTTACATTAACAAAAAACTTGCTTCTAATTAGCGGTTTAAGCCAGTAAAAGGTTTGTTCCACACGAGCCACCGGGATCCCGCGGGGGCCCAAAACAGCCCAGAAAGCGTTCCTCGAGCTAGAAAAATGGGTAATAGCGAGCGAATACCTTCCAATTTTAGAATGGAATATTATACTTGGCAATTAGTCAGTACCTGAAAAAAAAAATTGCTTTCAAAGAACTGCATCACACAATGGATTGCTAGCTATTTGAAAAGGGGGTATGCACTGCGTCCTGGCAGGTCAATTGTGACCTATGCGATCAAAAAACTGTACCAAACTGTACAGTATTTACCGTTAACCTAGAAATAAAGCCAGTTAGTTCAAGTTCTCATATTTTCGTAGAGCTTAGAGGTCCAACAGACAAACGAAACAGTGCTGGTGACGACACAGCTCCCTAAATTAGCTGCGACAGTAGTATTTCGCCTATTTGCCGGGATTAAATTTGCCGTTCCACTTCATACGTTGGTTCAACGACCCATCTTTTATTTGTCGTCCTTTTTATTTGTACCCGCATCTTGAGTAGAGCTTACAGTCGATAAGTAGATACTTGGCCTTGCAAGTTCGCTTGCTTCGCAGTTATCTAAATTATCTTTATGACCTGGCACCCAAATTACCTTTGTTGCCTTGCAGTTTTCGACGAGGTTGCAGAGCTTTCTAAGTATCTAATGGCGACTTAGTTTTCCTAATAGTTACTGCCTGCAAACTCAAATCTGAGATGATCAGCTACCGCAAGGCTTCCTTCAAGACTGTCAATTCCTCTTGAAATATGGCGCAATGGATTGGTAGTAGAAAACTCAGTTTTAGAAATAACTCTTTCAAGTAGACACCACTTCCCACTCTTTGGTTTAGTTTTGACCTGATCGTAGACAATTTTGTAAAACGCGAATATGAATTCGATACCGAGTAGGGAGAAGATTAAGGATGATTACCATGGCGTTAGACGGCCAGTCTCTAATACGAAGTAGATTTCTCTAAAGATGAGCACCCAACCACGTTGAATTTGACCTACTTAGTCGGACCAGGTTCCCTGGGGGTATTTGCCCTCTAAAGTTAAGTTTCGTCAGTATTAGCTTGACAGCGCAAGCGCAGCTACAAATTGTTCAGGTTCCATAAAAGCGGGGAGATATTTACCGCGCGCCTGTAAAATTTTGTCTCATCTTTACTAATTTAATATTCAGTGTTCAATATAAATTTTTATGACTAAAAACGTTTTAAAGTAATAAATATTTTTTAATTACACTCTGTTCGTCAAGCCTTATCAATTAAAATAATTATAAATGAGCTCATACTGACTGACCGCCTTTCTCATTAATCATTAAGAAATTACAGTGAGACATGGATAAGTGAGCCTACAAACGGAGTTTTGCTATCCGTTGTAAAGAAATAACTCTCAAAAAAAAAATATATATATAAATTAGCAATTTGACGTCTGACATCATTAACGTACAGTAGGGTCCGTTATACATACAAATCCATCAATTTGCAGTTCTGGCAGTGAAGGCAATTAGAATTTGAATCAAAGGAATATCTATGAACTCTCAGGGCCGCTTTCATCATCTCTGATTAACACTAATCCCCAGCTAAACATCGTTACCGACAAAACGTTACAAATGTGCATGGAGTCTGTCATCGATAAGGCCCCACTGTAAACGCCGATATGACGAAAAATGTGAAACGACAAAAAAAAATTTCCTTCTCAAGGGTGTAGACGAACTTTTTTTTTACACAGGTAATAAAACTAAGTGAGATGATAACCAAAGGCAAATAAACTCTACATACATATATACAAGTAATGACCAATAATAAATACATAACTACACTCATACATACATACATATGTACATAACAGAATTAGACGCGGTAATATGAATAGAAATATAAATACATTCGTACATACACACATAAGTACATATGTACATACATACACATGTATATCTGCACGTGTTGTGTGTATTTTTAATAAATCAAAATATAATTTGAACAATTAATTACGAATACCAGACATCTGCAGAAATTTGAAACCAGTTAGTGATAAAACGCCGAATACCAATTGCCAATGACAGCAGCTGTTAAAGCGCAAAGCAATTCAGACTAGAAAGCAGAAGTTTAATTTAAAAAAAAAAATTTATATTCGAATCAAAAGTTTACTCACGCCAGTCGTCGCTTGCAAAACCACACCCAC